GTTTTCCCGTTATTTCTAGTTTCAAATGGTGCTATTCGTTTTTCAGAATTTGGAAACTTTTTCGAATTTTGACTCTGGTCAGTTTTGGGAGCAAAATAAGTTGGGTTGTCTACATATAATAAAGTATTATGCTGGCACGTATTATAGATTACCATTGCAGTATGGATTAGCAAAGTTGAAGTTCAATGGAAACTCGTGGGAAACATTCATTCCTGGAGGTATTAGTGCACCAAATCCCAATGCTGGAAAGAACTTGTCACTAACACAGAAAGAAAAAGAACAGTGTTGGGCATACTACATCTACGTCACATAAATAATTATAAGTTGTTGTCCAAGCAAACTATTGAAACTTATAATTAATTATCATAATTATAATTTAATTCATGTTGAACCACCACATGTGTAATGACGATTTACAGTCAGAACGTACACAAAGAAAAAGTCTCCATTCCGCAAAAGAAATACATATGGATCAAGGTTGATAAATAAATGCCTCCAGCTTTCAATTAAAACTACCAGAGTTTACGAGAAATAAAAGTCATAGCCAGGTTGTACGGTGTAAATATTTCAAACAAAATAAAAGAAAATGTACGAGAAAGTGGGGAGGTTGGTCTTATCATTAAGAATAGCGAGCTTAAACAACGACGACGGCAACAGCAACGGGAACGGCAAAAAGGCAATAGGTTAAGATTAGCAAAACAACAACTTTGCACGTGCATCACGCTGTTTTGTACATTTCTTAGCCGTCACTGCACGACCACATCGTAAAAGTGCCTAAATTCACGTTTTGTCGAGGACGGGAACACAAGACAACTACCGTTTTCTTTTCCCGAACTTTGACGAAGTCTTTCAGCATTTAACCCCCAAAAAGTTTGCCCACAAATTAAACGAGATGAAATAAGCGCGATAAAGTTGAGGCAACAGGAATTCACCTTTTAAGTGACATTTTCGTCGCCTTCGCCGTTGTTTAAGCTCCATAATACATGTTCTACAGGAAATGGTCAGCTGAGAGCCTGTAAAGCTAACTAAGCTGCTTTCTAAGAAGAGCGATGGCAAACGTGAGTCTGAAGGCAACAAGGCACTTAGAATACCGTAGAAGCTAGTTTTCATTTTCCACTTGCCCATTTTACCCTCACCTAATTCCACTTCCCACGTTTTCTTCCCCGCCCGGGTTTAAAAAAAAAAAAAAACGACAAAAAAACAACAACAACAACAACAACACGAAATGAATCCTGGTCTTCGTAGTACAAAGGCGTACGTCCTATTGATTTCAAGTAGCAATAACCTCCGCGTGACACATTAGCCTTAAATCACGGCGCTAACGTACGTATCATAATCCTGACAGACTTCTCCTACAGCCACCAGTGCTTTTACGTATTCATTTGGTTCAGAAGGGTTGATATAATGTAACGATTGAGGATGACTTGGATCTCCATTTGATGCCGTAAAGTCTATACCAACCTAAATCATAAAAAAAGAGTTTATTTAAAAACTGTTTCAATGCAAGAGCTCTATTGTTTCAGTCAGTTTGTGGATGAAACATCTGTAACTCACTCAGTAGCAGATTTGGACTAGTCATCAGAAGTTTAAATGCCGTTCGACTCCTATCGGCAGTACTCGGATATTTTCTTCCGAGTCGTCTGCGTCACTGATTGCAAAAACATCTTTCTCTTCGCCCAAACGTTTACATGGAGCCAATTGTTTTAAGCCACGATACTTAGAAAATAGGGAGCTTTAGCATCGACGAGGGAAGGGGAAACGTCACTTTTAAAATGAATTCGCGATTTTTGTACCTTTGTCGCATTTACTCCAATTCGCTGAAAATGTCAATTGTAGGCGAATTTCCTTGGAGTTGATTTCTTGGGGACCGCTTAGTTTAGAACTCAGAGAGTAAAGGCCTGTTTACATGGAGGTGGGCGACCCCAGGTAGGTCAGGTAACCCGCCTGTCCACATAATCTCTCACTTTAATTTAATCATGTTTACATGCTGGGTGGGGTGACCCGCCACATGTTACCTCACCTATCTGGCCCGGTCCCCCACCTCCATGTACACAGGCCCTACGAAAAATACGTCGTCTCTTGTTTACGTCCTCCATAAAACGTGAAAGTAGTCATTTTCAAGTTGTAGTCGTGCAGTGACGGCAAAGAAATGTACAAAAAAGCGTTATGCACGAGCAAAGTTGTTGTTTTGCTTAACAAACCTATTGCTTTTGTGACGTCCTCGTTCCCGTCGCCGTCGTCTTTGCTAAAGCTCCCTTATGACTTCAACGAATTTTCGTTAAAACGTTTTTTAAAAAAATAAATGTACTTCAACGTTGAAAAGAGTGTTTTTTTTAATGCAATCAAATTGCGTAAGTTTGTCAAGTCTTCGTCGGGAGTTGTTGTTGTAGTGACAGTAGTTGAGTTCTTGTGACACTTATTTTCCTATACTCGGGGGAGAAAGGGATGGCGCAGTAGTGAGAGCACTCGCCTCCCACCAGTGTGGCTCGAGTTCATATCCCGGCGTCGACGCCATATGTGGGTTGAGTTTGTTGTTGGTTCTCTCCTTCGCTCCGAGAGGTTTTTCTCCGGGTACTCCGGTTTTCCCATCTCCTCAAAAACCCAGCATTTCCAAATTCCAATTCGACCAGGAATCAGGTAGACGAAGAACCACTTTGTGGATGTGCTACCTCCACATCGTTATTTATTTATTTATTTATTTATTATAATCAAGTCGGTTGCGTGAATAAACTTTATGATGTGAATGCTTGGCAGCCACTCAAGGCAACCTCTCAACAGACTGCAGTTAGTCGATTCAGCTTAGTTTGCCAATTACTTACCACGAAACATAAGCTAATTTTTAAAATTAGTCGTACGTTACAAGCAAAGTGCTCCAAGCAATATACTGATTTACAAAGTTAAAAAAACGTAGAACCATAATATTATTGTAAACTTTCAAAAACTGTTAGGCTAAACAGTTTGCTAAAACCTTAATTTTAATCCACTTTAATCCTCTTCAATTTTGCCCATCAGTGCCTCTTTATGTGATTGCTATATTGTTTCAACATTGCTTCTCTTTTTTAAGCGGTTATTTTATATTTCAATCAGATTGATTGCCACTTCTTAATAGCTAAATTAGGCTAAATTTTCTGTCACGGCTCCATTTAGGGAAAATATCTTCCTCGCGTTTTGGGAAAGACATAAGTCATTCTGTTAGGCTGTTTGTTTCCCAGCCATAAAATAGTCATAACATTGTAAACATTAAGAAGAATACATTCCTACCGTGAAGTTGATCTGACATCCACCCATAATATAATCCAAGAATGTATGCACCTTGGTAACCTACAGAGTAACAAAAAGGAGATTATTGACAAGTCAGCTTTTTATAACCTGCAATTAGGTTATTAGGCGATTGTTTCTTTTTTGGAGCAGCGTAAAAAAACGCCTTATCAAGGGCTGAACCTTTATTAAAAATTGTTTTCTGATGTAACTGGTAGTTGTATTAAAAAAGCAAAGGTTGCAAAATCGTCAATTAATGCACCTTACACTTTCTTGAAGAGTTTGTACTTGCTCAAAAACTTTGTCGCAAAAACACATCTCAAAAAATCATTAAAAGGGCTAAAAATAATGGCGGTTTGTCTCGCTTCTCACTTCCGGTTCCGGTTGTTGGGCCCAGTGTAAAGTGAAAAACGAGAAAAAACGTTTATCTTTTTTGGTTATTTTCTGTGTTAACCTCTCTTGAATCTACGGTAAATTGGTCAAAATCCATTAAGTTACTGTAAAGAAACGTCCCATCGGCGATTCATGGTTCGGACTTGCTTTGACATACTTTGACAGCTCGGGATGACACACGCACGCGACGACACACGTAGCCTGCGTAGCAAGCGTTTCCGCGCGAGTTCGTCGAGAACGTCGGGACTCTAACTTTGGCGCAATAACTCGATTGGAAACGCTTGCTACGCAGGCTACGACACACGCGACAGGGACGCAAATAGTTCGCGCCAAAATGACGCAGATGATGCAGCTTTTGGCGGGGAAACAAGTCGAGCTCCCGCTCTCTCGCTCGCTTTTGCCAGAGAAAACATGAAAAATCTACCGCGCGAAGCGACGCGCTCGTGAAAAAAATTGAGCTCGACTTGTAGGAAAGTCTACTTAAGAAACTGAAGGGATGTATATCAACTGACTTACGTTACACTGACTGACATATAGTACTCCAGAGTTGACATATCCCTTCTTCTTTTGCTTCTTTTTAGGATTAACAAGGTCAAGACCTTTCTGGAATACAATTTTTACAAATACTTATCATTGAAAACAAAGAGAGGACTAATAAAGTCAAAGAAGTAACAAATGAATCAGTACAATGAACCATCAGTTAATGAGAGCTTTGAAAGTTACGAATAATCAAAATCAGAGCAAACAGTCCGTGCAGTAGATAAGATCCTATATAGTGACACTGTACCATTAATAAAACTTTAGATTTTAGGTGGTTCTAACGTATATCTACAGAAGTTGGGAGCTCAGAGTAAAATATGTAAGACAAAATATTGAAGGTTTCCTATAATTTGAAAGATTTTAAGTCGGCTCAGCTCAGTATTTTTGTTAGCAAACTTTTCATCTTTGAACCTCTTGTGCTTAAACAGCTTGATCTTTATTGTAAATCCAATGTAACACATAAATTGACTGAACACATAGACTGATACATGTGCATGTATGATAGAATTGTTTGGCGATCGCAAAGAATATCACACGACAATGACGTCACAATTGTTTTAGCTCCAAATCGAATTTCAGCCTTCCTTCGCATTTCCTTTGTAAGCGCTTTCAGTGCGCTACGTATATTTTGAGTGCTAACCCAAAGCGAGTTCGGGTAAATTCACGCGTCGTGCATGGAAGTTCCACGTACACATGTGCTATGCTCGGGGCAAGAGGAAACCCAAGAACACAAAATTATCCAGATCTTTGACATCGCTTCAATATTCCCTCAATTTTGCGCGAACGTTAGACAACTTTAAAAGTTCTCAATGAACAACGAATTCAGGGACAGCATAGTATACTAACCAATTGCAGCTCTGAACATTTTTGCAGGAAAACTATCTTCACGAATTTGGATTAAATCGCTGTTCACATAAAAGTAAAAGTATACCCTCACTATTTGTAAAAAGAGCTCAGCATTTTCTTTTACCCTGATTCAAATTTTTCGAGATCGCGCAAGTCTACTTGCTTCCAGCGGTTTGGAGAATTAATAATCGATCTTTGCGTAATGAATAAATAATTTGTCCGCCATAAGTCAAGTCTTAAGTTCACGCGTAGATTATACAAACTTTTTTGCAGAAATTCCAAGATATCTCAAAATTCCTCTGGTAGATTTTTGTGAAACTTCAAAGAGCAGAAGCATTTCTATAGAAAATGCGGAGCTGAAATTTGACTGACCTCATTGTCACGTGATATTCATTCCGTTCGCCTAAAAGAATAAAGTTATAATATACTTGATGTTCAGCTACTTGGAATCCACGTGTTACAACTGATTTACAATGGAGATCAAGCTGTTTAAGTATAAGTACAAGATGTTCAAAAATGAGAGATGTGCCTACAAAAAATCTGGGTCACACCACCGGTCAAACTGAAAGGGAATACACTGATCATCACTCTAGTCACTGATCTTACCCCAGTCTGTTTGGTCTCTAGCAATTGCCGAAGAGTGGCATTGGTTCCCCCAATAAAGTCGTGGGTCCCATCGTCATCATAATCAAAGCAATCAATCTGTCATGATGTTGAACATGCGAAAATGACCAGAAAATATCATCAGTAAAAAAGTACATACCCCAGAATCTTTTGTATCAATCAGCTGCCGAAGTGTTACATCCACACAGCCAATTAAATCATCATTGTCACCTTCATCCCAGTCATAGCAGCCACACTTGTAACGGCAAAAATTAGACAAAAGAATAGTGAGTTAGATTGCTTTGAGTGTTCATTTGCCGATTATTGTTCTATAATTTACATGTAGGAAGTTTGTCGTGGGTAATCTTCTTGAAAATGACTAATTTGTGATAAACACATTTAAAATTATTTTTAATAATAATAAACAAGTGCATACATGCATGTAATAATCATTTGTACTATTTTGAATTACTGGAACTGAATATTCAGTTATTTCAAGTGTTTTAAATAGTTAGTGTTCATGGCCATTCTATGTTTAAGTGCGATAAACAATTGCATGAAATATTATTCAAAATATAATAAAAAAATAACAATACGTTCAATGTGAAAGGCCAAACCAAAAACTTGCCTTTCACTCAGCCCCCCTTACCCGTATTGTTGCATCATAATCTCCACTGCAAAGTGTATGAAGTGGAATGGTGAATGATTTCCAAGATGGACTGAGATTGTTTTTAACAACCTACAAAATAATAAGCATATAATAATAATAATTCTTATAATAATAATATAATAATAATAACAATAATAATGATAATAATAATCATTACCTAGGCTGCCATTTGGAGAAAAAAGGAATTTTATCAAGAAAAGTTGGTTGAAAAACATAATGTGGGTTTATTTGTATCATATTACACATTACCAACACAAAATAATACACACATTCTTTTCGAAATCTCAGCATCGGGTTTATTCTAAAATATTGCTAAAATTTGGGAAATTTTAGCCTCAGTATCCCTAAAGACAAGACTCCCATAGTGGCGGTTCATTGGGCTGAAAACTACTGACTGTCTGATGCAGTAGTTTAATACTTTGAGAAGTATAGATTATAATTACACTTTTTCCAGCTTGAGTGTATAAGAGAAGCTGAAAACAAAATCAAATGGAGGGAGAGGGTTGCTATGTCTGTGGCACCCCAACGGTCACCATGACTACAGGATAGGTGCAAGGTGTCATTTGATGTACCAGTAATTCCAAAAATTATAGTCGTTCTACGCTTATAAAATGCGACACTGGGTCAGCTTTGGTGTTTTAAATACTATAAAATAACAATAAATTCCTGTTTCTTAAAACTCGCAAAGCAAATTAAGTTTCAGTTCTACTTCTGTCAGATATTGCATTTAAAGCTCTTCGATATAAATATCCATGGCGAGTGAATATGCTTCTAGTAGACGGGGCGGTCTACAAATAGCATATTCCTTTACTGAAACAAAAGACTTATCACACACAGAGAGTGAATTGCAACAAGTTGAGGCTTTGCCCGTGGGGAACGTTGTTCCCGTAGCTCTCCCACAGGATTATAACATCATTGAATGATGCATTTAGATAATCATTTGGCAGAGATATAGGGCCAATAACTCCACGAAATAATTTACTGTTTATTTTATATCAACTTCTAATCTGTTCGCCAGACGAACTGAAATGACCCGTCCCTTTCCCTGCAAAAATCGGCCCTGTTGAAGGGAGAGTAGGACAAGTCTTTTTTTGATGGAGAAAGCCCATTCCATAATAAGGAGGGTCCAAGTACATGTAGATCATGTTTACCTCAGTTCGATGAACGAGCAAAGTTCCACCATCAGCTTTAACTTTTGACACTTGAAGAAAAGGATCTGATTTTCCAAGAAAGTCCTGCAATAATTATCATGTCATAAACACAAACTCAGTACACATTATAGTAGTTAACATTAAGGGGCACTGACAAAAAAATAACATAACACACTATGTTTTGGTGGGCGAAATTGGGCAGGGAAAAACCAGCAAGGCTCGGACAGAACCCACTGACACGATAACCCACCAGATGAGGGAGGGCCAAGCACATGGCATCATGCCAAAGGGGATGCCTAATGCCTATACTCCAAGGTGAGCATGGTTCACTCATCTGTGTGGCTGGGATTATATCCTTGGACATGTTAACCGAGTCCAGCAGAATTCCCATGTACCCTCCCTGATGGGGCTTCAGTACAAGGTTGAAGGGATACAGCAGGCAACAATTCCAACACAAGTCTGTACATATTATAATGTAATAATTAGTTTATCTAACTACCTCTTTATTGTTATTTATTTCAATAAGCACTTTATTAATTTTACAGAACAGGTATTTTTCATACTATGTAAATTTAACAATGTGCCCCCTCCCCTCCCCCCAAATTTTAAATAAATAAATAAATAAATAAATAAAAGGAACTAAATTTTGTGAAAAATGTCAAAACTGTTCAATAGCCAGCCTCAGAATGGCAATAAAACTGACTTTAACTTTCAAAAAACAAAAAGGCTTCCATGATTGTTTCAGGCAACCGACAGGGTGTTCATTAGGCATCGGAGATTTCTCTGTTTACTACGAAGAATTCTCTGGCTAACGTTTGGTAGCCTGTGACTAGTTTTTCCTGCTACCAGAATTCTTCATGCAAAACTTGAACCAGGTGGTCCTTCTTCCTTTTTTCTCTAGCCTGTCCTCAAATATCAGTCTTCCCCCCTTCCCCCAAAAAAGACTGCTTCCCCTAAAAAAAAAAAATGGAAAAAAGAGAAGGTCTGATTACAGGTGTTCACTATGCCATAGCTGTTATCAAATGCCTTCCTGGCTGCGTACACTTTAATTTGCTGTAGATATGGATACTAAGGAACTGGGGACCACACCCCACCAGCAGCTTACTTGACTAGGCGTCCTTGAGAGTAAGACCTTTGTTGAGCATGTGCTACATGTCGCTAGGATACAGAGTTTCAAACCTAGACCTAAACGCTGTGAACTCAGTATAGCAGGCTCTGTTATCACCAGCAGATTTTCAATCAAAGGGAAGCTCAAAATTGAGAAAATTTAGGCTATGGCAACTTTAAAGCAGACCTGCGAACTCTCACGATTTTTTATCTTTTCTCAAGGCCTTATAACAAGACTCCCAATCTCACAGTTTTGGGAAAAATCATTCTTAAATGAAATTAATGTTACCTTATTCAATAAAGTGGAGATTCAGTGGGAAATGCTAGTGCCTTGTTGGGACTTTGTGTATCATTTTGGCTGTGATTAGTTGGCTTGTCCAGAAGAAGCGACCACTAGCTAAAAGTTTTGGTCTTTTTTTAAGAGATGAACTCTTATAGTTATTAAAAGAAAGATGCATCTTGAAACAACAGGGACCACAAATAAAGCAAGAAGGTAAGATTTATATAAGATATACTTAATCCCCCCTCAATGGAAAAGGGTTCGTTCGATCTTGATCAGGAAAAAAATACATGTACAATTATTATCACTACATTTTGTAAGTTTATCAGGGGTTGGCAAACATTTTAAATGCTCAATTGACACTACTTTGGCATAGCTTCCATTTCTCCTTCTTGATCAAGAAGAAGAAAAAGCAGGCTCTTCTTGCAGGGTGTGGCGTTCACCTTCTCGATCAAGAAGAAGAAAAAGTAGACTCTTCTTGCAGGATGTGGGGTTCACCTTCTCGATCAAGAAGAAGAAAAAGCAGGCTCTTCTTGCAGGGTGTGGGGTTCACCTTCTTGAGCAAGAAGAAGAAAAAGCAGGCTCTTCTTGCAGGATGTGGGGTTCACCTCCTTGATCAAGAAGAAGAAAAAGTAGGCTCTTCTTGCAGGGTGTGGGGTTCACCTCCTTGATCAAGAAGAAGAAAAAGTAGGCTCTTCTTGCAGGGTGTGGGGTTCACCTCGTCGATCAAGAAGAAGAAAAGAGGAGGCTCTGCTTGCAGGATGTGGGGTTGATCTCCTCCTCGATCAAGAAGAAGAAAAAGCAGGCTTTTCTTGCTGGGTGTGCGGTTCTCCTCCACGATCAAGAAGAAGAAAAAGCAGGCTCTGCTTAGAGGGTGTGGGGTTAATCTCCTCCTCAATGAAGAAGAAGAAAAAATAGGCTCTTCTTACAGGATGTGGAGTTCGCCTCTTAGATCAAGAAGAAGAAAAGAGGAGGCTCTGCTTGCAGGGTGTTGAGACCACCACTCTTAATATTACAGGCCTTATTCAGATGGGGATTGGAAATTCCAGTTACATCCTTATCATAGGCAAGCCTCCTACATGTACATGTAAATAGCAGCCCTTCACTCCGGTTTCAGGTGAATTACTGTACTTCCTCATGAAAAACCTTAACAGGTTTCTCATTTTATTATTAGACCAATGAATTAATGGTTTTGACTGATGGACGATTGACCTGTTTGCTAACAAACAGTTTTTGGCTATATGTCTGCACTCAACAGCAGGTGCTTCTTTTCCTTCCCCACCCATCCCTCAACTCCAATTTTTTTGTCATGTGCCTCTTAGTGCTTCTCCCAATGGAAGTGACTTCCATGCAGGCTAACAAAAGATAAATGTGGAGGGATCAGTGTCAATTTTAAACCCAAACATTACAGTACAGCAAAATACCTCCTGCACATTACCAAACTTTGGTAGCTGTGCCTTGGAATTACGAGAAAAAACTAGCATTTTTGGTGCTCAACTTGTAAACAATGTTTTCGGCAATTTTGGCTCCTCTTAGCCAGACAGTTTTTTATAGGAAATGGCTCAACTAGCATCTGCAGAAGATTTTGGCAAAATTTCCAGGGGTGAATGGGTTATTAAAGAAGAGAAACATGACTGTGATAATTATGATTGGGCACTGCGGTTAATGCAACAGATTACAGCCCGTAAATAATGGTAAATTGCATACAGAGGATCCATGAAATGAAGATAATAACTACAATTTGGACAAAAGTGACAATGGGGGAAGGTGGCTATGTTGTGCTATTCAGTTTTATCCTTGGTTTAAATTTTATTTCCCTTTGTTTAAGGGTATGGTAATGTATGATAATGGGTTGAAAACAAGGAGGAATAAAATTTAAACCAAGGATAAAATTGAACCACAACAGCTACACTAAAACTTTTTGGTTTATGCAATGATCCAATGAATACATTGTACACATAATGAGAAGCACATAATGCGCATGCATACAGATCATCTCTAACTATTGAAAGAGCATGATTGAACACTTTTGTACCTTTTTATCCAGATTTGTTGCTCTAAATGTCAACTGAACAACTTCATTTCCTCCTTTTAATTCTTCAGCATATACCTTAAAGAAAACAAGGATTGGTAAGATGGTAAATCATCTTTAGCCAAACCTCTTGTCACTTTTACCATTCATTAGTGTACAAATTATGTAGCTTGTGATCTGTTTAAACTAAGTCCAAAACTTTTTGGAGACTGCGCTGAGATGATTTAGCCTCCGAAAAAATTAGTTCTTATAAGACTGCCAGGCAGAGTACCTGTCAGTGAAATTTGAGAGCAACATCTTTCACACGTATTCCATTGCTGACCATTAAAATAGTTATAAAATAAAATAGTCATTATTTTTTACTGTAAAAATAATAAGATTATTACGCAAAATAAATTACCGTATTTTTTTGCTTATAAGTCACAGCATTTTTTTAATGAAAGTCTGCTTGATAGCTCTAAGTCTGTTGTAATTTTGGGGTGTGTCTTATAATTAGGCTTTACAGGTAGATGCTCATCTTCATCGTTATCAGTTTCCAATGACTTCAACATAATTATTCTAAAGCCGGCACTAAACGATGAACAAATCAATTTGCATTCAAAAAATATCATCTGGCATCGATGGTTTTGAACTGAATGGTCATGCTTGGTAACCAGACGAATTTTTGAGCCCATGTTTGACCCAAGATGGCAGTTTATTTACAGTCATTTCTACACTGCAATCTTGTGCTCGTTTCAAACCTTTATTTTCCGAAGAAAGCTCCCAAATCTTTTTATAGGCCTCTTTTATCACAGTTATTTTGATAGACAAGGGCTTAATTTACCATATTTAGTAGTTAATTAACAAAATATAGATTAATGCTTCATATAATTTGATTTGTATAATAATAACTTACTGTAATTGTACCAACTTGTCGTCCCTTGATTGCTAATGTCTGTGCATACGATTTCTTTGAAACTATCTGAAAATTGAAAAAAACTTATGTTAATAAATGAAATACATTTCATTCAATTTCAAATTCGAACAAAGAATATTTAATAAGCTTTGGTTTGTGGGATCTTTAATGTCCAAACTGTTCAAGAGAAACTAGTTTTTGTTTCCCTGGTAGGTACAAGACCTATACAACCTAGAGGTATGGATTATCATGACAGTTAATATTTAACCAGACTGCTAGAAAAAGAGTATTATGATTCATTCATAGATTTTTGTTGCAAGCTCATCATTATATTGTTGTTGTTTAATATGGTTGCCGTGGTGGTAAAAAAAGAGGGTTGAAAAAATTAAGATAGATTTAGCCAAGGCTAAAGACAATTGCAAGGATCCCAGTGATAAAGTAAAATAATTGCCAAGGAGCAGCCTCAAGAAGACGTGCAAGTTATTCAAGACATTTCTACAAAAAATAATTGAATAGCGCGGCGGTACATTTATGAGCAAAATCTTTGCTCGTTTGCACTTAGCGATAGCTAAAACTAGATATACAGTTGACTCCCGATAACTCGAACCCTTGCTAACTCGAACCTCACACTAACTTGAACCAAAATCGATTTCCCCTGGATTTCCATCATACATTTACTGTAATTTTACCCTTGGTAACTCAAACCCTCGATAACTCGAACCTCTCACTAACTCAAAGTAGTTTTTGTTTTCCCTCAGATCATTTCTATATAATTTTACCCTCAATGACTCAAAAGATACATTTAGATCATAAATCAGAACGTAACATGACATTACCTTAATAGAGAATGCGTTTTACTGTTTTGAGAAGTAAAGCTGTTTCACGCTAGATTTGTAACAAACAACATAAGCGTCCACTAATAAACTATAATTATATGCCTACAACACGTCAATGGAAATTCAAAATTCAATGTTTCGGAAGCCAGTAGACTGTTTTTTCCTGACTTTTAAGGGCTCAAAACATGGTTTAATTTTCACGTGACATTTCGACAATTGACGACCATTAAATGAGATTAAATTGCTCACTATGCAGTAAAAACTGTTTTTTTCCTTACTCCCGGCTATTTTCTTGGAGCTCCCGATAACTCGAACTTTTTTTGATTTCCCTTGAAGGTTCGAGTTATCAGGAGTCTACTGTAATAAACTTGTAACATTACAACAAAATCCACTTGAAGTTAAGCCTGCAATCAGCTTAAAACCGGTAACTTGTCAACAGATAACATAAAAAAACACGTAATCTCATTGGGTCAACACCTGATTCCATGATACAGTCATGTTATACTGGTCAGCAGAAACCCTGTTTTGACAGCTGTCAATTGATCACAACATGGATGTGCATTATCAGTTTGCAGGCTCTCACATCAGCTAGAAAGTGCGACACTTTACATTGGTTTCCCTGTGGTGAGGACGGACGGATGGACAGGTGGACGTGCAGTCAAGTGACTACCAAAATTTCTTGGATGGATAGCTGACCAAATTTTCTTAGCTATGGCAAATGGGGCTCTGCTCGTGCGTGTGGAGCTCCTTTACAACAGGATAATTAACCGAAAATACTAATTAAAACAGCCCACCTGACCAAGTGTACACTCCATAGCACCAAGAAAGTCATCGTCTCCCAGGCTGCTTGTCTCATTATCAACATCATAGACTGCAAACTTCAGTTTTTGCACCATCTCAAAGTAATAATCCATGGTAATTCCTTTGGCAAAATCTGGGTTTAGATTATTCTTCACCTTCTCTGTTCTTTCATGCTACAATTGCAATGAATTACGTATTTTGAACAACAATAATTATTAAACTGAGTCAATACAAATATGGTGGATTAAAGTTACTGTACATCATAATTACTGTTCCTGTGGATGCCCAAAAATACAGCCAAAAACAGTCCATAAAATAAAACACCTGCTCACAGTTGTTAGAAACTTAACATCAAGAAATCACTAATCATAATACCTCCAAGCTTAATACTCAGTGGTAGTCATTGTTGACAGACATTTAAGTGTTAATGTAGACTTAAACCTCTACTGAATGACCACTATAGAGATATTTGGTGGACCTGTTCTGACAAAGCTGAAAGTTATTGATCATTTTAGGGACATAAAATTAATGTTTCATGAGTGATGCCTGATCTAGTGTCAAATTCTCCCTTTGATAGAAGTGTATATATGTTACAGGTCGAATTTGATTTCAAGTTAAGGTTGATTCTCAAACTAGAATCAAACTAGGTTAAATCAAAATTAACCTGAAATCAAATTTGACCTGTAACATATACAGTGTACATCATTATTCATCCCATAATGACAGTTATACAGTCAGATTCATAAAGAAAAGTTTAAAGGGATACTCTATACCCCAAACCGCAATTTTACGAAAGATAGCTTAAGGACTTATTAGATGATTTTGATTAAAAAAAGGCAAGTAATCGTCTGCATTTGCCTGAAAACAAGGAAAGTTGTTCGTCACACAATTAAAATTTTGCGCTACAGCTAGAAATCGGAAATGATGTAGAAAGAAGAATGTTTTATCACTCGCAAGGACAGAATTAGTCTATAACTGGCCCGATGATCTCCGATATACGAGGTTTTGGACAAATGCTGTGAAAAACACTCGCCGAATCTACAAATTCAACTAGACCTTGCAGCGCTCATTTTAATGAAGACTACTTTGAAGACGAAGGACAAAGCGATAGCCTAGTCCTTGGGCTTAAAGATGAACCCAATAATTATTATAAAAGCTGATGATGTTCCATTAATTTTTAAACTTGGGCTACCAGACACTTAAAAGCTAAGGTGTGAAACAGATACCGTCGCAGCCTCAGGATACTCAAGATAAAGACAAATCACCAAAAAATTATATTTCCTTATGCTTTATATGGCGAATAGATGTTAAAATTCTGCGTAGTCTACGGCGTGTCATCTGCAAGGCAAAATCCCTTAAACACAAAGTCATATTCATTGCCTAGGGGAGGGATGTGAGCCCCAATGCAGCAAACAGCGCAAGAGGGATCGCGCAAGATGGCAGGACAACGTGAATTTTTCACGGCTAAAATGCCTAGCACCACCTTGCCAGCTGCCTTTACTCTTTAAGCTACATGCAATAATTTACTCCCTTGTTTGTTGCTGCTCTTTTAGAACAGTATTTTGTGTCGTCATTTTTTAATTAAGCATAACCCTGGTAGTGTTTTACCAATTTATGTGTACTAGATGGTAATGATCAGTATAACCTGCATGACAAACTTCTTGGCATAAGCTGAAGAGTACTGTCTCTCGGAAAAAGTCAAGATGACGATCACGTTTGCGAGTCATGCACATTAACTCCAGAGAATAATAGGATCTAGTTGCACATATAAAATATAAAGAGTAAATTGCATATTCTCATTTTTTTCTCTCACTCTCTCTTAAACTCAATTGTGAGTACAGTTTCAACCCAGTCTACATTTCACCCCCAGTTTGCAGTCCCTGTTTTGCATTTTGCACCAAGCTTGAATTTTGGTCTTACAATAAATGATTTGTTGTCAAGGGGAAGTGACAAAACTACAACACCTGCATGAGTGCACTTCAATGTTACAGGTGTTTTGACACATAATCCCCCTCGTTTGTAACTGGAGTAATAAATTAGGTATCATGCACGTACTTGTAACTCGCTCAAACTCTTGTATAGCTCATATACTGCTTCATATTATATGGGTATATCTACCTAGCGTCAGTCACATAATTGCTATAGCATGCAATGATCTTTATAATAAAAAAAACAAATAAAAATAAATCGTTTCTAGAGTTAACAAAGAAGACCTTAATGACTTTGTTCATCACAGGAAATTATTTTTCTATCAATAAAACATGCAAATTAATGGTATTTCAGTATATAAATGTATAACAAAATACGCTTAACATATTAAACACAAAAACATTCAAACTTTAGGATGAAAAGTGAAAGTTAAATATCAACCTTAAACCAAGTAAGCATTAGCAGTTTTATCATTTGTTTCAAGTAGACCATTTTACATTTGTGAACTTAGTATTCCAGCCTTTGAGTGAACGTGAGGCTGAGGTTGACCTTGTTTTGATACAAACCTCTTTCCTTTTGTTATGGAAATTACGCTTAAAATAACCCGTTACTGCGTTAGCATAAGAACGACATGATTTACATAATAAAGCAGAAAGGGTTGTATCAAAACAAGGTCGTCAACGCCAGCTTCGTTTCGACCTGTAACTGTAAAATGGTGTATTTTGGGCTGTACTGTTTTTGACCCTGTACTGTGCTTTGTTTATAAATTATACGTTATAGAAACTTTTACGTACTGGTCTACATGCACCTGTAACGAGCCATTAAGCTGCCCTTATCGACTAACTTCATACTTGTAACTTACTTCAATCCACTTTCCATTCTCATCCTGTATGTATAACGCACACAGAGGATCTGATTTAGAAACTGTATCTTTATCAAGAAGCCCTCTGCAAGACACATGAAGCTCGACACGAGTCACACACTGCGCCATAACGACTTCGATCCCCTTCGATTCTTGTAATGTAGGTTACACCACACGAGTCAGAGCAGTTGATCCTTGATCAGAAACGTTTGCTAAGATTAAAATGACCAGGAAACCATTTGCTTTCACTGTTGATGAGGAAAAAAATAACAAACTTTCGTACGTCCGACCTTTCAACACCACCCCTTAATATTATCCTCGCCGCCGAGACTGGGCACAAGCTCAGCGAAATGCCTTCTGGGAAGTGTAACGGCAAGAGAATTGTCATTTGGGCGGAGTGTTGCGATCAGTCTCTTGTTTCTCTTTGCAAAGTTACTGCACGCGAAACCTAAGCACGCGAATAACCTGGTGGTTTGCAATCGCGCTGGATGAGATAAGAACTAGACGGATTTTAAGAGAAAAGGCGGACTGCAAGCAGTCTAGCGGAGTGTATAAAACCTGAGTATCAGGCGTTTCTTTTCTGTTTCTCCCTTAGCCTCTTAGAAGGCCTGATACTCAGGCCATAGTCAGTGGTGGTTCCAGACCTTCAGGGATAAGGGAGGTGCCCGGTCTCAAAAATAGTTTATTTCGGATAATTTATTTTGGTCTAAAATTAGGAGGGGCCCTCCCCTGGATCAGCCACTGATAGTATATATCAAAGACAGAAAAAACTTGAAAGTAAGCAAGTCAGAATGTCGAGGCAAACACCACACTAAGGCCTGTTTCAAACGCCGTGCTACTGCCGTGCTAATCTGGCTCGACTGCAGCACGACAATAGCACCACCTAGTTTCAGACGTCGAATTTAATTCAGTCGAATAAAACGTCTGTTGCCGAAAACAAAGTGCAAAAATAAAGAAACGGTTTAACAAACTTTTAAATGTATTCTAATGTAATTCTATAATTTATGAATTTAGTTTGGCAAGGCAGTAGCGCGACGTTTGAAACCAAGTCGAGCTACTGCCGTGTAGCACGGCAAAGCTTGCCGTGCTACACGGCACTAGCTGAAGCACGACTTGGTCTCAAACGTCGCGCTACTGCCGTGCTAAAGTCGAATTTCGATCAATTTAGTTCGGCACGGCAGTAACATGACGTTTCAAACGGGCCTAGGGTTAAGAATTGAGAGCTATGTAAGTCACATGCGAGGATTTGTGCTACCAGGGCCAATGAAATAAAACTTAAAATAAGTCTGAGTGAGCACATTGTCTTAGAGTTTTTAAAAAACAAATGGCTACACTTGTAATAGTTTTATTAAGGGCGTGTTCGAAAGACCTTATTCCGGAATAAAAATAAATGGAAAACTCTAGAAACCAGTTGTTTTGGCTCTCATTGCATTGCAATACAGTAGAACCACGGTAACTCGAATTCTGAAGGTCAACGAAAAACAGTCGAGTTAGCAGGGGTTCGAGTTATCGGGAATATCCAATTTGCCATGTAACTAATTGTTAGTTACTCAGAGTTTTCAGCACTTCAGTTTATAGTACAGTGCAAATTTTAACTTACATCATCAGAAACGGTAACAGGATTATACATTTATATTATAAAACAGGTGATAAAACGTGATCTGTTCGTTGCACCATGCCAATTACAATCAAATTGATGTGGTGTTATTTTCAGTGTTTTTACCACAACAAGAAGAGCTAATGGAAACTAAGGCATCCGAATGGAGCTACAAAAACCATAATTCGACTTATCGGAGAACATTTCAGTGAAATTTTGATGACGGGGAAGGAAATTTAGTTCGGGTTCACTTATATCTAAGACTGAACTTTGTCGCAAAAAGCAAATGCTGGCAAGAGCCATAATAGGACAGAGAGGGAGTCTAAGGGCGTTGGCCGGGATATCTATTATGGCTCTTGATGCTTGCTAATTAGTTTAGCAATTTTAGCTCAAAAATTTTTAAAGGAAACTGCTTGCAGAAATGCATAGAGGAAATAGCAAATATGGTAAGAATAACAAATTCAACAACGATTGCAAGCTGCAGCAAACATAAAAGTAACGAGCCCTAGGATTGTACCTGCAATGTTTTGAAAACTTGTTGACAAAAATCGAAAAAATCGCTGAAACAACTACTTTAGCAAAAGAAACAATCCTTACAAAAGAAGGGAAAGGTGAACCTCGAAAGAGACGCAGATTTGGCAAATATCGCAAAAGGAACAAGCATTTTCATTGCGACAAGAAAGACACCAATCCCGCGTCTAAATAGGGTTAAGCGGTCCGTGCAAGGCGAAGCGTTATTTATTTGCCAAAAAATAACCGGCTCAAGGGCCCGTTTCTCGAAATTCCCGGTAACTTTTCGGGCCCGAAATCAAGTATTCAAATCAAAATATAAAGAATAAGAGCGCGGGTCCTGGCTAGCAAAGTACTCCATTTTGTTTAATAAACTGATAGTTGTAAAACTATTGAACGTGACCTCTGTCTTGCATGCAGACAACAACAGCTTTACGAGCCCGTTAATTATCGGGACTTTCGAGAATTGGGCCTTATATATTAGCTCCTAAACGGAAGACAGTTGGAAGAAATCAATAACAATAATATGTGTTTTTGATACGGCTGTTACATATATTTATTTTATTAAATAAATTTATTTGATTTCAAGTGTAATGTATTTTTATTCTAGTCTTATGAGTGTTCGTTTGAACAGTCAAAGAAGTACAACTTTATTGAGCTATTGATTTCTCTTGAATTTTTGAAGACAGCAAGAGCCTTAAGCCTAAGACCACCAGAGATTATTATGTTCAACGTCATAGGACTATATCACCACAATAAATTGTAATAAACAACACTAACTAAACGAAAACTATTTTACTAGGCATACTCTTAGTCTGAGAAGATAATGCGAGAATCCATCTATGTAATCTTTTTTGCTCTTTATCTTTCCCGCACCCCAAACAAGGATGTGTTATATCGAAGAAGGATGATTCTAATTTTAATCGAGCCATTCTTTATGGGGGATAAAAGGGAAGACGGGTGGTCAGGGGTATTTTCAGTACGATTTACGTGTCAAAGCATCACCACATCTATTTCCTCATTCAAAAATGAACAAGGCTGTTTGAAAAAATACCTAAATAAAAGATAAAAATAAAATAAAACAAAATAAAGAACGTGGGGCTTGTTATCCAAAATAGCCAAAGTTAGATTTTGCTACACGACACTAAATCAGTGAATCACTTGATTTAAATAGCAATTTTCGTTTGACCATGAAACAAAACAAGAGGGTAATGATGGACGAAGAAAACTACAACAAACGACCTTCAACATTTCAATGTTTGGTTTAGTGAACAGGCTCAGAATGCGCGAAGATTAAATACAAATTGGCTTACAAATTACAGGATATAAAAATCTAAAAAAAATCAAAATCAAAATCAAAATAACGGACATTTTTTTCAGAAAACATTTTTAAAGGCCAAAGGAAAATCACTCCAAATGCCGTTTTCGTAGTCCGTGCAAGATTATCATCCAACCGTTGCAAACAATGGTTGTTCGCTAGAGCTGGCTAACTTAAAAACACAGGCTAAACATTTTTCAAAACTCTCCCTTAGCTTGCGAGTACAGCCGAATCTGCCGGGTCCCAATGGCAGGAAGCCAGGAGAGGCGGCAGACTAAGACGCTACTAGCGTTTTAAACGTGATAAACATTCCAGTTTGTTTAAAACCAGCGCCCCTGTACAACTCTAGCCTGCGTAGCAAGCGTTTCCCTTTGGTTTCCGAGCAAAATACTGAGGAAGGGGACTTTCGGTTTTGACCGCGCGAGAAATGAAACGAGAACCACTTTTCTCGCGGTCTTTGACTCTTGTTCCTCGTTCTTTTCTCCTAAACAGCACAGAAACGCTTGCTACGCAGGCTACTACAACTCTTGTAGACCGTGACAAATAACATTAAAAAGCTATAAAAAAATTGTTTCTAGAATTGCCTAAACGTTTGTGGTGAAAATCACAAAACGTTGAACAGCAGAAATATTTCTGAAATGTTAATTGTTATTGTTGTGGTGGAATGTTATTGCAAGGAAAAAGTTACGGAGCCCAATAACTACATTTTCTTTCAGGTTTTCGCGACGTTTGGGTTCCCTGTCACAGTGGGTTCATGCAGACTTTCGTGGTAGTCTCTAAAAGACCATCATGGTTCAAAAATGCTGCTACTGTTCTTATCTGCTAAACAGAACTGGCTTTCTGTTGCATACGCCTTTTTTGCATGAGTATATGGAAAGCCGTTATACTGCCAAAAATGTCAAAACTCTTGTAAACACTATTGATTAATAAAAATTGTTGGCGCATTTACGTATGGTCGAGTTTCACCGAGAGATGTTGAGTTCCATATCGCAAATGTCAAGTTCTCATTATCGAGTGTCAAGGTTCTGCTAATCATGTGTGAAATCTCGCTAGCAAATTTCTCGCTAGTGAGTTTCTAATTTCTCGCTCTGAAATATTTCTTCGTCATTTTTCTTGACAAACAAAGAAGCCAAATAGCAGCTTCAAGTTTCCGCGGAGAATGTACACAAATCTTCTACCCTGCTAGCAGAAGTTTTGTGGTCGCCATAACATGACTTATCTACTGCTTTGTAAAGCCTCTTTTTCAGGTAACTAAGCATATTCATCAGAAGATTCATTATCATTGGTGTGCATATGTTGACGCACATAATTTGTTTCGCCCACAGTGAAGACGTGGAAATTCGTCCTGCAGAAAAAGATGTATTGATTAATGAGTAATAAAAAATAAAAACAAAAAATTGAAATTAGAAAAACAAACAAACAAACAACCACATCAACAAAAATTTTTTGAAAGGGGATGTATGGAGCATTACTTTAAACACGATAAATTTTCAAGCCCAAAAATTGCGTCAGATATGGAGTCCCTCCATGGTTACAAATATTGGCCTCATCACCTTGGTTGATGAAAAATAATGTTCTATTTCACTCCCCAACCCCCTCCTCCCACCACCACAAAAAAAGAAACAACAACAACAAAAAAACACCACCACAAAATCTGCAATCTCGGCGTGGCAATTAATGTTTTAAAGGGACAGGTTCATGGTTCAGCGCATGCTTGTTAATCAAAATGCTGTTTTTCTGCCGGGACATGCTGTATCGTCTATGAAAGCATTATGATCATGTCATAATGTTGTCAAAGAACCAAACTGCACACTCCCCTGGCAATCACTTGATCAACTTTGTAACTTTATTTGATTTACGACAAAATACAAATAACGATAAAACAAGACAGTTACACAAAAGCAAATGAAAGTAGCGAGGAAGCCCAAAAAGAAACCATGAGGCTTATAGATATTGGGCTCCCTCAGAGTAAAAATAAAGTTAACAGTAACAGTCAGGCCAGGATTGAAAGTAAAATACAATGAAGGTAAGTATAAATTAACTAATTACATAGACTGAGTTGACAAAATATAAGGTATGGTACATTTAACAATAAGTATAAAAATAATATCAGACATGTGAAGAAATATAACTAGTATTTATTCGATTAACCGCCCTGGGCGCTTATTAAATTTTTGGATCTTGAGAGTGGGCGCTGGGCGCTTATTCGAGGTGGGCGCTTATTCGAGGCTGGGCGCTTATTAAATTTTCAACATTTTCAGCAAGTGTAGTATGTGTATTTTACAACAAAACAATAAATGGTAATAACAAAACGCGAAGATGTACCAAAGCAAGGTTCCTGGGAAGTCTCTTATTAGCACTTATTCAATTTTAGGGGTGCTCGCTAATTTGAGTTTGAGTGGGAGTGGGAGGAAGGTGTGGTGGGGTGGGCGCTTATTCGAGGCTGGGCGCTTATTAACTTTTTCTGCCTTTAGGATGGGCGCTTATTCGAGGTGGGCGCTAATTCGAGGTTGGGCGCTTATTCGAATAAATACGGTATTTACTACAAGATTTGTAACTAATAATTCATATATAATTTTTTTTTTTCAATTTCGTTTTGAATAAGTGGAGAGAATTAGATTCTTTAATATCATTTAACTTAGGTGCAAATAGCTGAAAATAAATCAACCATGGAATAAAACCTTCGAGTCAACAATAAATTCAACATTGGTAGTGTTGGCATAATCCACTAATGTTTTCTGCGACTTTAGTACTCCTCCATCCCACTTCAGGTTACTCTAAAATACACTTCTTTGAAATACACCTGAGATCGCTGAGATACACGTGAGTGGGATTATTAATCCATAGAATTAATGATAAATTGGAAAAAAGT